AAGGAAGGAAGGAAGGAAGGAAGGAAGGAAGGAAGGAAGGAAGGAAGATCTTTCCCAAAAGAGATGCAGGCCTGGATGAGATTCACTGCTGACTAGTGCTGGCTTCTAAAAGACTAACACCAGTGCTTCTCTGGCTGTTAGCAACAGAAAAGGACAGGGCTCTTGCATAGGCTTTTCTGAAACCAGTGTTCTGGTACCACAACAAGAAACAGACACTGTAAAAGCAAGATTATAGACCAAGCTACATAGCTGTAAAAATCCTCAACAAAATATTTGCATATCTAAATCAAGGATGTATTGAAAAGATCATGACCAAGTTGTCTTTGTTCTAGAGATTTAACTATGGTTCAACATGCAAAAATTGTCAGTAAATGTAATAATACCCCACACATAAATGGTTTTTCAAGGATAGAAGTCAGATGATCATCTCCATAGATTCAGAAAAGTTTTATGACAAGATCTGAATCCCTTCATGATAAAAGCCCCAAATAGGGGCTGGAGAGATGCAATTATTGCTCTGCAGAGAACTGGGGTTTCGCTTTCAACATCTATGCTGGGTGCTTCACAACTGCCTATCTCTTCAGCTGCAGAGTATCCAGTTCCCTCTTCTGGCCTCCTTGGGAACACACATGAACATGCACATACACATTTACAAAAACAGATAAATAGATAGATAGATAGATAGATAGATAGATAGATAGATAGATAGATAGATAGATAGATAGATAGATGAATGAATGAATAAATAAATAAATAAATTAAATAAAGAGTGAATAAATAAAGCCCTCTTTTGAAAATGGACTTAACTAAGAGAAGCCAGTCTCAGAAAAACAGATGCTCTATTTGTGGTTTCTAGATTTTGTTTAGTCACATAGAATTATATATATATAAAAAGAAAGAAATGAAATTATGTAGAGCAAGAAAAGGGACAAACAGGAGTGAGGGGAAAATGGAAGGAATGAGGACTGATGGTGGTGTGTGGTTGACATAAAATATATGTCTCCAAAAGAAAAAAAAATTTTTTTTCAAGACAGGGTTTCTCAGTGTAGCCTTGGCTATCCTGGACTCACTTTGTAGACCAGGCTGTGTTGAACTCACAGAGATCCACCTACCTCTGCCTCCCTGAGTACTCCTGGGATTACAGGCGTATGCCACTGAGCCTGGCTTACAAAAAAAAAAAATGTTTAAATAAATACGTACAAAGATATTCTTTGTAGCACTTCTTGAATATATATTTAAAAAGTAAAAGATCCCAGTGGCCGCTGACTAAGGAATGATTGAATAGTGGAATTTATGGACTACAGTACATTATGCATAATAATAAATACACCTTTGTATATTGACTTAAGACACGAACCAAAAATATTTCACTAAAAATGAGCACTTGAGTGTCAGACAAAAGTATGCATGCGCTTGCTGTAATGACCAATGAACTCTTGTCTTTTTGCAGACGATATGAGGAAAATTAGGTATAGAATACTACTGAACACTTCACCTGGAAGCTGGTAATAACTTCCTGATGTTGCGTTTTAGAGAGTGAGATCCCCAGACAAAGTAGTGGTATTTCAAGCTCCTAAGCAGAGATACCGCAGAAGAGCTTTTTGGCAAGTTTAGTTCACACTTTCTTCCCAAAGTGACTCTGGTGACATAAACATGTCACTAAGCATCTAGCAGGCAGTTTAAAACAAAACAAAATAAAACAAAACATTCTTTTTGCTCTTCTCTTCATGTAGCTCAGTCCCAGTTCCAGAATGAAGAAGCTGCCTCAGGGTCGCCCTGTGCCTCCCCTTGGACCTGAGACAAGAGTGTCTGTAGTCTGGGTGGAACGCTACGATGATATAGGTACTATCTGAGGAAAAAGGATCTCTCTGCGTAAAGTGATTCAGATGACAGTGCGCAACCAAGTGTCTGAAAAGGGGTGCAGAGGCTTGAACTTCATAAGACTGCGTTTATCTCAACATCCACTCGGTTTTATGAAACCTGTTAACTGGGCATGCTTGTGGCCCTTATTTCCTAGTTGTGAATGTTTGACAGACTAAGATATAAAGCTGATATCTGTTCTGTTGGTCTCCTAGTCAGAGTGCCCAGTCTGCCCAGGAGCTCTGGGCCTCCTTCTCCATGTGCACAGGTGATCTTATTTTTGTACAATAGCTTTCTTTGTCCTTAAAAGTTCTGCCATGGGACTGGGTGTGGTAGTGCATGCTTGTAATCCCAGCACTCAGGGAGGCGGAGGCAGGCTGGTTTACAAAGCCAGTTCAGGACAGCAAAGGCTACCAAGAGAAACCCTGTCTCGGGAAAAAAAAAAAAAAAAATGGATAAGTTTCTAAGGATTTCTACATCAGCAGCATAAGAACCTCAGAAATTCATGCTTAGCCTAGAACCCTGTCCAGCTCAGAGTTTATAAGAACATGTCAGCTGCTTTTGACCAAGCCCTCACAGCCACAGATCATATTCTCTAAAAGCTCTTTGCTTTAGGTGAACTTGGCCAAAGCATATTGTAAAAGACAATTGCCTTTATGTGGGGAATCATTAGGATCTGTACTGTGGTATAGCATAGACTGTGAAGTTGCCTGAATTTGGAGAAATTGGGTGGTGATAACTGAATTGTTCTTTTCTTCCAGAAAATTTTCCCCTCTCAGATCTGATGACAGAGATCAGCACTGGTGTGGAGACTACTGCAAATAGTAGCACGTCTCTGAGGTAGGTTCTCTTACTTGCATGAGTTTATCAGCATGTCTGTTTTTATCTGTTGGTTATAGCTTAATAAAAGCATTAGAATGAAACAGTGGCTGAAGACGTAAGTAAAGAATCAGGAACTGGAATAGATGGCTCAGTGGATACAAATACTTACTTTTGGAGAGGATCCAGGTTTTGTGCCCAGCCTTCAAATGGTGGCTCACAAACACCTGTAACTTCATCTCCAGGGGATCCAACTCCCTCCCCTGACCTCAAAGGCACCAGGCACACAGGTACATATAATACATGCAGGTGAAATAAAATACTCATACAAATAAAAATAAGCAAATTAAAAATTTTTAATAAAGAATCCAAGGGTTAGCAAGATGGCATAGTTGTGGCCCTTATTTCCATGTTTGAGTATTTGATAGACTACACTTGTTAGCTGTTCCAATATTCCCAGGAACTCTGGCAAGGGAAAAACAGCATGAGCTACATAGGGAGACCATCAGAAAAAAATAAAAGTAAAAATCTACTTTATTGAAGTGTGATTACTATACAGAAAGTTATACATTTTTGGTATATTAAATTTGCTAATTTTGGAGGTATGTACACATGAAATCATCACAATATATGTCATAGATATACCTACCACCTCCAAAAGCCTCCTGCCACCCATAATATCTATCTTATTATCATCATTATTATTATTACTATTTGATCTGCCCTCTTAGGTTTTTAATTATACAATATGGTATAGCTTTACCCGGTACAGTAGACAGTTGACCTCTAGGACTTACTCTGCATAACTGAATTTTTGTATGCTTCCAATAAAAACCTTTCCACTTCTGTCTTTAAGCACCTTTTACTCTCTGACTTTATTTTATATTGTTTAAATAAATGTTACTATGAAGAATTTGTCATCTTACACCTGACTCAATTCTTTTAGCATACTGTTTTCCAGATTTATCTCAACCCCTGTCTTGTGGGGGGAAAATTATATCTAGAATTCCCACATTGGGCTTTTGCTGTTCCTGCTTGTACTCTGGGCTCTGCCTTGATGGTTTAATAGCCACACTTCTGCACCTGCAACAAGGGACTGAGCAAAAGTCTTGTAGTTGGCTGCCAGATGTTTACCCATCTATGATACATTTTCCTGGCCTTTCTACTCCACATCATTAGAAGTGAGTGGTCTTTTAAGAATATTTTTCAGACTCTCTTTGATATTTAAAAAGCCTAACCCCAGGAATTAATGCTTATGGCCAATGGTTTCAAGCCACAGCAGCATGGCTTCCCAGGAAAAGGATTGTGAGTGGACTCTGCTTAAACTTTACTAACAACAGGTCCCCAGGCTCTGGTATGTATTCTTATACCACATAGGAAAGACTCTAGTTTGTCTGAAGTAAAAAGACTTATCTTTTCTAAGATCGACAACTCTTGAAAAAGAAGTCCCAGTAATCTTCATCCACCCTTTAAACACTGGATTGTTCCGGATAAAAATTCAAGGAGCTACTGGAAAATTTAACATGGTCATCCCTTTGGTTGATGGGATGATAGTCAGCCGACGAGCACTTGGTAAGGGCTTTATGTGTACTGAAGGGCTGGGTTCCTGCTTGATTCTTTTCTCCCTCATCTTTCAATTTTATTTTTATTCTTTGATAGTCTCATACATGTATTTAAGGAATTTTAGTCCTTTTCACCCCATAGTACCTTGTCTCATTCTTTGTCCTACTGAAACCCTGACAACGTTCTTTTTATGTCGAGAGTGTGTGTATGTCCACCCCACTGAATTTAAGTAGGGCTCCAGGTATGGGTGGGGTTGGGAGGTTATTGGAGCGTAGGATGTCAGTGGCTACATCACTGCCTTTAACACTTTCATAAACCACAAATAAGTAAAATTAAGGAAATAGTCTTATTCCTTAATAGTCCCTGCATGTAGAAAATGCTGTTGCCTTATAAGAAGGGCTGGGGTATATTTTCATGTTTAAACTTGAATGATACAAATGGGCCTTTGCTAACTGCCAGGATTAGAAAAATGAAAACAGTTGTCCTGGTGCAGAGGACATGGGCTCTGGAAGATAAAGCTTTGACTCTCGTCCCGTGCTGATGTCTCTCAGCTGTTTTATCTTGGTGCCATGTTTATTTCTGAGGTGAGAAAATGCAGGATTGCAGTGAAAGAGTTGGAGTACTCAGAAAATGAGTCTCCTGAACACAGCTAACCTGACAGCTAACAGTTATTCTCACCTGTTTTCAAGGCTTTCTGGTGAGGCAGACTGTAATAAACATTTGTAGAAGAAAGCGACTGGAGAGTGATTCCTACAGTCCACCACATGTCCGTCGGAAACAGAAAATCACTGACATTGTCAACAAATACCGGAATAAGCAGTTGGAACCAGAGTTTTATACTGCCCTTTTCCAGGAAGTTGGACTCAAGAACTGCAGTTCTTAGAGCACAGTTTGTCCGGATCAGTGAACTCTGGAGTGAGCTCTAACACAGATCAGTGAATTCTGGAATGGGCTCTAACATCAAAGCAAGATCATCCTGTAAAAATAAAAGCGAATCACTCTCAAGAGCTCACTTTTGAATCACCAGAAGAAACATGGTGTGAAGCCACTGGCTTAAGGACCCCCAGCCTTCCAGTGAATGGACCATGCACAGTCACACTCCTGCTGAAAATGACAACAAGCATTTTAGCCATAAACTTTCTTTTAAAAGTGACAATTTTAGTAAAATACAAGCCTTGTGAAGAGAAAGGCTTTTATGCATCAGTTAAACACATGCATTGGTAGTGTCAACAAGTTTGCAAGTTAGAAGCTGAAGATAGTTTTATACCTCGCTTTTTAGGAGGGTGTATTCAAAATTAAAATCTGAGAATCTTCCAGAACTTTTTAGGCTCAAGTTGACACCGGGGAAAAGAAAAGGCTGCAGCATTGTCATGTATCCATCCACTTGTCACCCCTGTCACACTGACAGAGGTGGAAACAAATGGGTTTTGATCAGATATGTCTGACATTAAAATATGTCCTATCTGCTCTCCATATTTAAGCAAGTTGTCCCTCTCATTGCCGTGGAGATCTGTCACATGGCCTCAGCTTCTTATAAGGCAGATGGGAAATGGAGGCACAGCTGTATTCTCTGATCTATACTAGTCATGTTTGTGGGGTTTAAAAGGTGTGAGAGCAGCAGTGCCTCCCTTCTCTATTGCTGTTCAGTTTAATGGCATGATGATGGTTAGACGTGGTTCCTCGATTACATACCAAGAAATGTGAGTTCACAGCAGGGTCTGAAAATTATTTGGCTTCATCATTTATTTCGGGACCAAGCAGCAAGCTGCAGTAGTTGAGGTTCTAATTTGTGGTTCAAGAAGTAGTGTCCCACTGCCATTCACTCAGCTCTCTTTTAGAGGGCACCTGGGCTACAGTCCACAGAAGTTGGTGGCTCGTCCTTAGGTGGCTGCTGCTGTTATGTTTCTGGACCTAGCCTTCTGAAGGCACAGGTCCCTGCTAAGGCCCTGGAATATTTCTGTCACCTCTCTGCTCTATATCTGCCAGGGACAAAGCTTAGGAGGTGGCTAGAACCAAATTGTTTGAGAAGGACTTCTGTTACAGTGCTCAGTATATACCTATTTTTATGTTCTTTTTCCTTCAGTAAGATTATTTGTCTTAGAAAACAAGTGACATTTATAGTCCAAGGAGTTGAACAGAGTTGAACAGGGTTGTTCCCACTGGCCCTCTGTTGTCATTAAAGTCTATAGATCAGCACTCCTGTTTGGTTTGAGGTTTTGTTCTTTTCCTAGGATGTTTGGTGCAGAGTTGGTCCTGTTCCCCCGTGCAGGTGCCTCCATTCTAGAAGTTTGTGTTCTGCCATCTCTGAGCAGGAACGGTGGCTTTAGTAGCCTTTGGTCTGAAGTTTGCCACCATCACCCTTTTTTATTCTCAGCTCAGGTACAGGCACCTGCCTTGTCTTCCTTGTCCTTAATGTCCACCCTCCATGAGTCCAATTTCCATTCAAAGCATGTAGTGTTTCATCTTTGATTTCTTTTTGATACTGGCAATAAACTAATGTTTCCAGGTGATAGCATAAGGTGGGGAAAAGGTAAAAATTAGTGAGTTTTACCCTAAAAATATTCTAGTAATTAAGCCACAATAGGTGAAATTGAACAACTTTTAAGATACTTCGAGATTGACGTCATGGGGAAAATGGTTTCTTGTTCTCTCCGAGGTGAACAAAGAGTCCTTACACATACAACTTATAACATTCCAGCGGCTACAAATAGCCGATAAGGATGCACTTCCTCGGTGTGATTATTCCGAAAAACTCTTGTTTGGGTATTGTTTAAATTATATCATGGGTTATGTGTGTTGGAGTGGGCTTACTGGCCTTTCCCCTTATGTTGACTTTAATTTCTGATTAACTCTGTAATTCTGATGGTTTTGGTAAGAGAACAACCATGGCAGATGTAGTTTGAAATCTGGGGCATGTGGTGGTACCCCAGGGAATGAGGGCTGCGTACCCCTGAGGGAGAGAAATCTTGGTGTGCACAGCCAACAGTTTGGAATGCGCCCCCTCACTGGTTCCCTCTGCTCCACACACCATCTACCCAACAAAGGAGTGGGTAAGAAGAACCTTGGGCCTTTTCAGAGTGGTTTGGAACCTTGCTCACTGAGTTCACCCTCCTGCCTGCGCTAAGATCACTTTGAACAGAATCATGTCAGAGGAATATACTTAGTATCTAACAATAATCTTTGTAGTTCACTTGATAAATTTGCCAGCACAGGCTCAGAAACTTTGGGGGGAAACTGGGACTAGTCTGGACTGTGACTTAAACTGTTCAGTCACTGTACTTGGATGCCCAGGCACTCTCAAAGAGGAAAACATTTCCCAACAGAAGGGTGGCCCCTTCCGTTCACTTCTGAAGCTAGGGAGGGGTGGTCTGCTTTGGCTGGGAGCATAGGAAACAGGGCTCTTAACCTCTTCAGTCCTCATAGTCACCTTCTGTCTAGTTCCCTCTGAAGACCTTTCTCCTCTTGAAAAGAAAAGCTACATTGATAGGGTGGCCCAACCCAGCTATACATGTGCAATGCACATGTGTACGTGAGTGTCCCCTCTCCAGTTCCTCCATTTTAGGGTAGCTCCATCTCTGGACTCCCATGTAAAAATGCCTACACTCTGGCTGGCCAACAGGGAGGTAGTAGGACAACCTGGAAGAACAGCTCCCCTGTCTATGAGCTGAGCTCTCCAGTGATGAGTTTTCCAGGGTGTTTATTCCTTGGGCAGAGCTGGATCGGTGGTGACAGCTGTTATTTGCCACTCTCCTGGCAGCAGTTGGCCCTTAGGATTTAAAGCCTGTTCAGGCCAAAACTTCTATGTTGACAGTGACCATTGGCATCCACTGGTCTGTTTCCAGCACTTCCCGACAGCCCCTCTTCCTGAGGGAGCCACCTGGACAGCGGACTCTCTGGTCTCACTGCAGGTAGAGCCATGCACTGCATAGGGTTTTCTCAGAATAGCCACCCTTGTTCTTCAAACATGGTTTTTAATGGGGAGGGAAAAGGTGTAATTTGGGATTCCACAGTGCCTTGCATACAGTAGGCGCCCAATACCTATTTGTTGAAGCAAATCAAGTTCCTTGTCTCCACAGTGACCAAGGCATCTTCCTCCTCTGAAGGGCTTGGCAGTTGTGGCTAAAAAACTAAGTATCATTATTTGCTCGAAACCGTATTTACAATTTGTATGAATTTCAGTATATTGCCAAGATGGGATCTTTTTCCTATTGTATTTTCTGTAAATATTTCTGTCACTGACTTGTAAAGTAAAGGAGATGTAAATATGAAGGTGTGCCTGTGTCCCTTGCTGCCTGTGTTGGATCTGCGTCAGTCTGGCCAGAAGGTGCGGAGCTGTTTGTATTTATGCCTGTCCTTTGTCCACAGGAAACCCACGGGGATATTGAATGTAACACATGCAGTCAATTAAATTTTAAGGAGCTTCTTATCTAATAACTTGTGTGTGCTTTTGGTGACAGGCCCTGGGCCTGGCTCCTGTTTGGTGACAGGCCACAGGGCTGGCTCCTGCACTCAAGCCCTCTCCAGGGGGGTCTGCTCCATTTTAAGTAAAATAGATTTTCACTCTGTTGTTTTACTGAAATACTCAGAAGTAGGTGAATTTTAAGAGAGAAGTACATGCTCTCTAATGCTTGCAGGAGCATATAGCACCAAGTTACAAATACTGGGAGTTGGGGTTTTCTGCTTATAGAGAAAATTAACTGGCACAGCAGGGCATTTCCAACGAGGGAAGGCACAGATGTCACCCCATGACCTTACTGCCCCTTTGCACAGGTTGGCTGCAGAAAATATTACAGGGAACGTGTTAGGCCTGTGAGCCTGGGGCGTAGGTGATGATGGCCTGGTGAGGCTTGGGAGCGTAAGCGAAAGCTGTTGGAATGCTTGCCGCCACCCAGAGCCACCCCTCCAATGTGTACCAACCCCGCAAGCTGCTCTCCTGCATCCAAACGGCCTGGGACCCACAGTCACCTTGTACTTTTTTTTTTTTTTTTTTTAACACCAGCTCTGCTTGCCAGCCACATGGCCTCCAGCTGGGACCATTGGCCAAAAAAGCTGGCTTCACTGGCCGTATCTTGGTGTCTGGGAAGGTTTCATAGCCAAAAATATGTGCTCAAAATTTTCTGCCTCTGTAGCTCAGCTCTCTGACCCAACACCTGACCCAGCACCTAGAAAACCCAGCCCAGCTGCTCCTTTTCTGGCCTCTGGGCCTGCATTCTGCACTCCCTGCCTGTGTGCTGCTTTCTGATGGATTTTTTGAATACTGTGCCCAGACCTCTTCTATGGGTCCATCCCTTAGTAAGGCTGAAACTCCCGATAAGCCACGAAGTCAAGTGTCGGCTCTTCTCCCCTTACTCAGCCTGGCCTGGTTCCCCTTCCCTGTAGATTGGTGTATCCCCCCATGACACCATCTTAACACCCAACTTGATGCATCAGCTTCCCACTCAGTGACTGACTTCAACCTGTGACTTGCAGCTTTTGAGATCCTATGTTCTCAGGCAGTCCAGCCTGCCTCCCCTCAGTCCTGACTCACTTTTAGTAGTTCAGTCTTGGTGAATGAGGATGAGCCTAGGAACTGGCATGTTTAATGTTATCTCCAGGCCTCATCCATCTTTTGAAGATTGTGCGCCAGCCAGTCTATTACAGACTTCTCACCCCCCACCCCCCCACCCCCCCACCCCCCTGCCGTGCCTAATTACTGCCACAAGCTTTAGTAAATACTTGGATAGCCGACTAACAGGCCAGGTGAGAGGAGGATGGCATTTGAGTTGTCTTGCCCACTGAGATAAGGGGGCAAGCTTTTAGAAGCCCCTCACTAAAATTCCCAATAAGGGTAGGTGGGGAAACTTCTAAATGACTAAATTACTGTTTTAAGTGGCTGCACAGTGAGTGACCTGACAGATTTAGCCTACAATATTCTAACGACGTCTGATTCCATATGTGTGTACATGGAGGGAGTATGCTCCCAAGGTATTTTCCTCATCAGTCTGTACCTTATATCTTGAGACAGGCGCTCTTGCTGAATGGAACTTGCTATTTCAGATATTCTGGTTAGCCAGCGTGGCTCTAGGGTTCCCAGTCTCTGCTGGGATTACAGGCAGGCCAGCAAGTCCAACTGACTTGATGTGGATTCCAGAGATCCCAACTCTGGGCTTCATACTTGTGGAGCAAGTGTTTTACACCCCACCCCCTGAATCTCCTATTTTGAACCTGGGAGACTCCACGCCGCCCACATACACAGCAGCCAGATTTTGGACTGTTGGCAAGGTGGGCAGTGTGGCGGTGCTAGACCTGTCTCTGCTGTGCAGCAGCTGCTGCTGGAGCCACCCAGCCTCTTCCTTTCAGCGCTAAGCTCCCTCCATTTCCTACAGTCCTTTGTCCCACGAACTTGGCAGTATATGTGTGTATGTGCTACTGGGAGAAAGGACCCAGGGACCTAGCTGGTTCCTGGCCACCCTGTAACCACGAGTATGCAAGCACTTTACATGCTGTTTGTCCTGTCTGTTTATCTGACTTTAGGATTACTCAGTTCGCTTTCATAAGAAGGTCAGAGGCTCACAAAGACTCACAGTTCCCTTTCATAAGAAGGCCAGCAGCCCAGTGGCTGCTGGGCCAGTCCAGCCCTGGCCATCTTTCTCAGGAGCCTGGGCCTCTCCAAGCCACAGTGTCTCCCAGCCAGTCCCCCTCAGTTTCCTTCCCTGCAGGCTCTCTGCCCGAGATGCTGTGACTTCTTGTTACATCATACTCACATAAGTCACAATTGGGCTGAAAGCAGAGCTGGCTCTAAGGTTCCTGCCTGCTGCTAGGTCCTCAGGGGCAGTCAGCAATCCAGGTGGCCCTGCCTGGCCACCGGTGCAAAATGAAGTACCCACTGGTGCCACTGGTGAATGACCTCACGCTCTCTTTCCTGGTTTTCTGGCTCTGCCTGCCCGTGAGTTTGCTGCTGTTCTTGATGATCATCTGGTTACACTTCTTACTTGGTCAAGGTGAGCTGGGTCAGGCTGAACTCTTTATTTTATAGCTGGGCAGGGCCCTAAACAGGATAAACAACTACAGGGGAGAGGCAGGGGAGGGGGATTGCACAGCATTTCAGGTGCAGCCCCTCAGTGCCACTGCTAGTGCCTAGGCTGGACTGCTGAATTGGAAAAGGTGCCCCCGTCTGTGCAAAAGGCACTGAGCAGAGCCTGCGCTGGCTCTCAGCTTCACTGAGACGCTTGCACAGCAGGACATAGCAGCCTTTCCTGTATTGGGGGCTGCTCACATACTATTCTGGTTTTTTGTTTATTTGTTTTTTGGCCAGACCAAACTCGGAGAAGAGCTGGCCTTCTCTGGGACACAGGCTCACTTTGTACACTTGCATGCAATGGTACAAAACTACACTAGGCAAGTGTAGCTAAAGCAATGGCTCTCAATCTGTGGGTCACAACCCCTCCAAAGGGTTGAACCCTAAGCTTTTACATGGGTCACATATGACATATTTATATTATGATTCATAACAGTAGTGAAATTACAGCTATGGTGTAAGTAATTTTATGGTGGGGTCACAGCATTAGGAAGGTTGAGAACCACTAAGCTAAAGGCCCAGACATAACTGGCCATGAAAGAGGCCAGGAGGCTGGTGGGGTGGGATATGTCCAGAGATTCCCTGTCCCCATGAATATCCCCTTTAACCCAGAGGCTTTTCTTTCTCTGCTTCTTGGTGCTGTGACCTTAGGCCGACTGGGCAAGAATGTGCCCAGCTTACTGCCAGCTCTGGTCACAAGTTGCTGAGGCAATATGAGCAGCGCCCTGCACAACCTGTCCCATGATCTGTCTTGTGCGGGTTGCTAGTGGTCTCATTACTGTGATTTGCTGGTGAGAGCCCCGGAGGGCCTCAGGGTTCTGAAAACAAAAACAAAACAAAAAAAAAACATGTTTTAAGCTTATTCACCACACTTTCAGGGTTGGTTGGGGCCCAGTCAGGCATTAGGCCTGGTAGTTAGGGGAGTCAAATGGATCTCTGACTGGGGGTGTAGGTTGGTAGAATATGCCTGCAGAGTAGGAAGCCATGGGTTTGGTCTCCAGCACTGCATGGTAGTGCTGTCATGGTAGCACGTGGTAGCATTCAGGAGGCAAAGACGAGAGGATCAGGTCATCTACAGCTGTGTAGCAACTTTGAAAGGGATCTGGGGTTCATGACATCCTCTCTCAAAACGCCTGTTTCTCTAGAGTCTGGTATCAGTCTTATTCCTTGATAGTTTATAGTAAAGTTGACCTCGTTTGAATACTTAGAAGTTATACTAAATGTGTGATGCATACCATCTGTTAGGCTAGGTTGCCTAGCGACCTCTGACGTCATCACCCGTCACCACCCGGTGCCTAACACCACCTCCCTCCAATCCTGAGAATAACCCTGTGAAAGAATCCTTATTGGCCAGTTGGGGAAACTAAGGCTTGGAAAGGAGAAGCAACCTGCCCAAGGTCACGGCCTATGAAGAGTTATCAGTGCAAACTTCAAATGCTACATGTATGGGCTGCCCAACCCTCAGTTTCCTCACCACAAGTGAAGGTAATCATATCCCCCACTCCTCCTCCCCACCACACATACAAATCTTTCAGGCTGAAGAGATGCCTGAAAGGCATCTTACTAGGTCTAGAGCTCTTGGTGCAGGAAACCAAGTACCTGTGCACGTGACACATAGTAGGTGCTTGCAGGCTCAGTGTGTGCTGACTGAGTCAGTGGCGGTTTTGTCACTGTGGCAGGGAGTATAGGAGTGGCTTTGGGTGGCTTCCCTGGAAAGGACAGCTTACCTCCACCTGTGAAACAAGCCCTTTGATCTTCAGGAAAGTCGGCCACTCGGAGGTGGCAGCACCCTGGCATGACTTCTTCTAACTCTTTGTTTCCCTGTGCGTTCTGCTCTTGTGCTGGCACAAGGTGGTTTGGTGGGCTGCAGCTGGACTACAAGCCCAGGCCTGTAGTTTTCTGTCATCATGCAAGCTGAGAGATAAAGATAAGACTTCGTTATCAGCTTCGGGTGTGCCACTGAGTGGCTGGAGCAGGTCTCCTGGGAAGTGGGTGTGGCGGTTGAGTCATCCATCCCTCTCTGGACACACATGTGTGTGCTTTCAGGAATTCTTGCGTTCACACACGTGTTCACCACAAAGCAGGAGAGATCACAGATACTTGGTCAGGACTGGCCAAGGAGGTGAATGGTGGAAAGGTCAGTGACTCGGTGTCTCTCCAGTGTCTCTCCTGGACGATGCCCAGTACAGCAGGTGCATTAGTTATCAGTCTCATGAGTACGACAAAACAAAACAAAACAAAAAAACCTGACAAGCCACTTGGGGAAGGAAGGTTTCATTGTGGCTCGTGGGAAGGGTGTGGCAGAGCTTGGGGTGCGCTCACACCACCTCCTTAGGAAGCCGAGAAAAAGTAAGAGGAGCAGAGCAGTAAAACCTCCAGGTGGTCCCCAGCTCCCCACACCCTCTAGAGGCTCCACCCCCTGCCATTTCTACAGCCTTCCAAAGCAGCACCACTAGCTGGGGGCCCGAGAGCTCCCATGATCCTGTGCAGGTTATTTCCCATTCGGACTGCAGCAGTGGGGCATCCAAGCACCTGGGTCCTTCTGTTTGCAGTAGGAGGATCTGGCCTCTCTCTCTGAGACAGTCTTCCTCCTGTCTGAAGGCCATGACATCTTAGGGATGGCCCCCCCACACCAGCCTCTGGCCTCATAAAGGACCACAGGGACCCCAGGACTAGCAGGTAACTGCTTTGGAGTGGGGGAGCGCTACAGGCTGAGCCCACCCCAGGAGCTTTGTCTCGGGTCTCCGCAGATTCAGAGGAAAATGATTCAGATTTATGCTTCAACTGGGAGCCCTGGAGCAAAAGACCAGCAGAGTCAGGCTGTGAGGGGACAGTCCATGACCAGGAGGACAGGATCCACTGTTGAGCCTGCCATACCAGGTAAGGCCTTTGTCAGGGAGGCTGCAAGAGGGCCCTGGGCCTGCACGAGGCCCCAGCAGCTGGTCGTTGGAGAAGATGTGCTGTGTGGACACCCTGTGCCCTGGTCTTGGTGAAGATGTCATTCTTTTTGCCTTTAGGGACTTGATCTGACTGGGGCAGTGAGAGTATGAAGAAAGAGCGGATACACAGAGACGTAGACAAGCTAGGACTGGGTGATCTGGGTTCTTGGAGCATGTTTATTTACAGTTGAATAAGGAGGCACAGGGCCTACAGTATACAGCTGGAGAGGAGGCAGGGTCTACAGTAAGTTTTACAAACACTTTCTCACCCTCATGTACAGGTGGGAACTTGGGGTTCAGGGTGGCTAAAGAGTTCACCCAGAGGAACACAGCCTTGGCACCCATTCCCATTGAACTAAATGCCATCTCCAGGCAGTGGCATCCAAAAACACACCGTCAGTCTAATCTTCCTTTGAGCTCTGTCATCTGTCCACCTCAGCTCTCCATGTCCTGGATGGGTGGGGTTCTCCTTTCCCACCCACAAAGCAAAGCCCAGTAGCCTCAACCCTTCCTCTTCCTCCCTCTCTCCCTCCCCACCATGGATCAGCTGCTCTGGCCACCACCTCAGGCCTCAGCCTGCAGGCTCCTTCACACCCAGCCATGGCAGCAGGCCCTGATGAGTCTGTCTCCTTCAGGGTGCCCACATCACTTCTCTCTGCCCTCACTGCAGCCTTACTGGGAAGCGTGGTCAGGTGCCATGCTCTCTGCAAGGAAGAGGGGGGACTGAGAAGCAGAGCCCCTCACTGAGCTCTCTCCTGGCCTCGGGGTCCTTGTTTAACCCTTCTGGGTGAAACAGCCTTGCCAAGTGAGGCCCTTTCCCTGGCAAAACTCACACATAAGCAAGTGCTTGAGTTTGTGCACAGGGCCGGGCTTCATGGCTGTCGAAATCACACGCGGCCCCACTGTCTGCTTGGTTTGACTCTTGGCTTTGGCTGTCTTTAACTTTTCTTTTGTTATCTTATTTATTTATTTATTTATTTATTTATTTATTTATTTATTTACTTTTACTAATTAATTTATTTATTTACTATTTACTTTTATTTATTTTATTTACCTTTTTGAGACAGGGTTTCTATGTGTAGCCTTGGCTGCCCTGGACTGGCCTTGTAGACCAGGCTGGCCTTGAACTCACAGAGATCTGCCTACCTCTGCCTCCCTGAGTGCTGGGATTACAGGTGTGCACCACTGCCCCTGGCTCCGTCTTTAACTTTATTGGTGTCTTAGTAGTGCCAGGATTTGAACCCAGAGGCTCAAGCCTACTAGGCAAGCACTGTACCATGGTGTCACATCCCAATTGAGGGGACCCTGTCCCCTGCCAACCTACCACTTCTCTGCCGATTTTATCCTTTATTCCCAGCCCAACAACCACTTACTCCTGGCTTGTTTATCTAGGTGTCATCTGGCCCGAGTGGATGACAGGAAGAGAACACTGGTGCCCGAAGAGCCTTCCTGGAACCTCCAATAGTCATACCTGCCAAGCCTCTTGTCAAACCATCCATTCTCCATCATCACAGATGACCTGGAACCCTTCAGGGAGGAGCCAGGCCCAAGCAGCTTATAGGGGGTGCTGGCTAGCTCAATTCACAGGAGCTGCTTTGTACCTATTAAAGAACTGGGGGAACCACTGTGTGTGCCCTGACGCAGCTTCTGATGCCCGTTCATTCACAGTGACTCTCTGGACTGGCCCACCCTCAGGCCTTGGCATGGCAAAGACGAGCACTCTGAGCTCTGGGTGTCACACAGCAAGCTGGATCCTCCATTAGACTGCAGTGTGAATGACTACAGTGTCTGCTGCGGCCCCCTTTCCGCAGGGGCACGTATGAGTGTTAACTGCATGAGCCACGCTCTCCTACAACCGTCAGTCTAGGTTATCTCCGTTACCCCTGAGTTCCAGAGAGGGAAACTGGGATGTAGCCGTTGAGTAACGTCACCAAGTCATGTTGGAGGGACAAGGGAGTCAAACCCAGCTTGAGTGACCCCTGAGCCAGATGCTGACCCACAGTGTTCTTCCTGCCTGGGTGGGGAGCTGGGGACAGGTGTAGCCCAGGCTGTCCTGGAATCTGTAGTCCAGGCAGGCCTCAAATTCACAGAGACCCGCCTGCCTCTGCCTGCAGATTAAAGGCATCGATTAGAGGCATGCGCCACTGTGCCTGGCTATAATTTAAAGTCCTGGGTCTTGAATTCTCAAAGTCTTCTGCAGCCCTTCTGGTTACTCCAAGGCAATAGGAAGATGGGCTAAGGGAGGGGAGGCCTTCCTAGGTACCAGCTGATATCACTTTGTCCCTCCCCCAACATCCCACTGGACATGTCCCTTGGAGAGGACAGAGCCTGACTTGCTAATTTCTGGCCATTTGCTACTGCTCCTTTGGTCCTGTCACTCACAGCTCCCATCAAAACACCCGAGATGTCCTCAAAACTACCTGTGGCTCCCGGTGGTCCTGGCAGGAGTTATCAGGCGCTCTTCATGCAGTGCAGCTGCCCTTCAGGGTGTGATCCCAGCTGATGTCCCGGGGTGGGGCTTCCTTCCGACCGGTGGGATGCAATGATCACACCTGTGCCTCACCCACAAACATGCCCCTCTGCGGTGTTCCAGGAGGTGCAAGACATGCTGTAGTGTGTGTGGTAGAGCCATGCAGTGCAGCTTGCCGAAGTTGCCACGTCTCCCCATGGAGGGTGACACAAAGGGGGCCGGAGAAGGCCATGTTTCTGTAGCCTTTACATATCCCCCACTACACAGGCACATACATGGACTCACAAACACATCCTCATGTTCTCACATGCCTACACATGCGCGTGCTCACACACAAGGTTCCTTTGGAACTTCAGTCTGTCTGATGGGCCTGGGCTTCCTTTGGGAGTGGTCCTACTCGGCACGGCTGGAGCTGACCCCTGGCCTTGCCTGGGTCTTCTACACAAACCCTGAGTGGTGTCTCATCCTGGAGGTGACCCCAAGCTCGGTTACTAAGCGGTGGGACTCCTGGCCAATGCCTTAACCTCTCTGAGACAGAGCATCTTCATCTAAATGAAAACGTTGCCTGTCCTGTTAGTGTGAAGAACTCGGAAAACCCCACAGCAGGCCCTTCAGCTGCCCCTGACACACGAGGCACAGTGGCCCTCGTTTCTAGGGGCCTGACTATTTTTCTCAAATGGAAATTGATAGAGCCCTTGCAGTGCTGTATCCCCAGCTGCCGCTCAGCACTCTGGTACTGCCCAGCTTGCCTGCAGCCCTGGCAATGCAGCCTAGCCCCAGATCACTGCCCCGACCTGTCTGGACGTCTGTGGGATGGACCCTGGGGGAAAGCAGGAGCTGCCAGGCCCTTCTGCACCTGCAAAGGTGGGCGAGAGGACTCCCTGGACTGGTGGGGTGCTTGCCCAGATTCTTCTGTCAGTCTCTAGGTCTCTTACACTGTTCCATGCTCCTCGTCACACCTGCAGTCAGGTCCTAGTTTTCCACTCTGAACTCTGGGTATCAGCCAGGACTCCCGCTCCCAGCCCTTCCCCTCCAGTCTCCTCATACCATTGCTTCAAGCCTCATATCCTCATCTTCGGACTCAGCACAGTGCCCTCGAGGGAGCCATAGCACAGGGGCCAGGGGCACGCCCAGGGGCCTTGAGCAGCAGCAGGCAGTATCTCTGAGTCGAGGAAGCTGCCAGTTGTGTGGTGAGGGCGTGGCAGGCTGAGCCCACTGAAGGTGAAAGGACCAGGCCTGACCTCCTCCCCCCTAAAGTCATCAGTCCCAGGAACTAGACCATAGGTCACCAATTCCAGGAATAAGAAAACCAGAAAATTGCCTACCCAAGGAAGAGCCTGGAGGTAACTATGAGAATGGGAAGGTATCTTACCTCAGGGTGGGACATCTGTGCTGGACAGCCCACCGACCTAACATTCCTGAGGTCTATAGATAGCTCACTCAATGTTAGCCTCGATTAGCTAGCCAATCACTCTGTAACAAGCTTGCCCTTGCTGAATGTCATCCACTTGTGTAACTGCTAAGCTGGGAATTCCGGGTTCTTGCTCAAACCCCAAATAAAAACCCTGCCATGCAGCTGCTTTGGGCTCTCCTCTCTGATCCACTGTGTTGGTGATGATGGAGAGACCGGCTCCTGGTGGTCTTTGGGGACCTTAAGATCTGGGCATAACAAAGGCTGTATGTCAGAGTCTCTCCGGGGCTCCCCAACATCTGGTGGCTGCCTCTTGGTTCCTTGGCTCGAGGCAACATCCTCAAAACTGTCTTCACAGTCTCCCTGGATGTGTGCATGCTGTCTCCCCCAGAGTTACTCCATCTGCAAGGATCCTGCTTATGCTGAACGGGAGCCGGCTCTGATGACTCGTCTTTGTTTGAGTTCCTCTGTCAACACACCGTGTCCACATATGGCCACATTCTAAGCTCCTGGGGGTTAGGACTTCAATATCTGCACAGAGGGACATGCGGGGTTCTGAGTGCAGAGCTTGGCTGGCGCTTTACAAGTGGCCTGTAAATCTTCATTAAAAAACAAAACAAAACAGAACAGACCCCTAGAAACGAGTTGAAGTGCTTGCTGAGGGCTTCTCTGAGTACTTACACTAACTCTCAAGACAGGCAACGTTTTAATTTAAAGGATGCTCTGACTCAGAGAGGTTAAGGCATTTGCCAGAAGTCCCACAGCCTTGGTCACCCCCAGGATGAGGCACCACTGGACTGCATTGGGTGGAACAGCTCTGTCCTGGGGTGATGTGGGGGGGGGCACAGAGGTGTGGAGCAGATTCTGAGCCCACCATGTGTTCCCTGGGACCTCGATGTGAGGGACACAGAAGGAGTTCAGCAGGAAGAGGGCTGTTCAGGTCTCAGGCAGCTCTGGGAGGTGTTGGCAGGCTGCCAGGTGCAGGAGCCCATGGGTCTGAGTCACCACTGCGACCTAGCCGGCGCGACCGATACTCCAGCCACAGGGCCATGGGGCTCAGGAATGTTGCCAGGGGTGCAGAGGTGGAACATTCCCACCTCCAGGCTTCATTCTGAAGACGCCGACTCTCCAGGAAGCTGGGAGGCGGCACTTCCTGCCAGACTCAAAGCTTCTCGCACAGGATTCAGGCTGATTACTCACTCTTGCTTTCTCCTGGTAGCTGGGTTTATAGTTCTGGGTTAGTCATTTACTCGGGCCCTAGATTACTCACTTGGAGTTCATTTCTGCGTCCATTCCCCATTCCCCAGTGGCTCGCTGATTTATCCTTACACTCAGCTGGCTCCCATTCCCACACACAGCCTTTCCTCCCCTCACCCATACAATCTGTCCAGCAGCCAGGAATCTGCTCACTTAAAGGTCCTCCTGATTATCCCTCTCTCACTCAGCCATTTTCTTTTTTAAGATTGTGTGTGTGTGTGTGTGTGTGCACGTGCATACATATGAGCATCATGCATGGGTAGGCGTACAAGTTGGACAGAAGAGGGCATTAGATTACAAGTGGTTGTGGGCCAACCAGTGTGGATGTTGGGAACTCCAGGCATCAGAGTAGAAATTCTCTTAACCAATGTGCTATTTCTCCAGCCCCTTATTCTGCCATTTTTCACTCCACCCCTCATTCTTCCACCATCCATCTACCTATCCATCAGTGCATTCCACCCATCCATTCGTCTGTCCACATGTCTATCCATCCACCCACATCCTCTCTACCCACCTATGCATCCATTTATTATTATTTTTATTTATATTTTGATTTTTCTCTGTGTGGCCTTGACTGTCCTGGACTCACTTTATAGACCAGGCTGGCTTCGAACTCACCGAGATCTGCCTGCCTTTGCCTCCCTGAGTGCTGGGATTACAGGCGTGTGCCACCACGCCCAGCTTCACAGCCATCCTTTATTAAGCACCTGCCATAGTCCTTACACAAAGCTCCATGAACCCTCACCATGTACCAGCTTCACACCTGTCCTCCGCGCTGATTCACGTTACGCAGTGGGAGGAGCCTCGGCAGCAGTCGGACCCCACCTCCTCTCCCTTCCTATGATGTGACTCTTTTTCCTCCCCCTGTGGAAGGAGTGCTGGGAAAGTGGGCGGTTGTGCACCTGTATGCTCTGACTGAGCCAGAGATGGCTGCCTGCAAAATAGGGCTGCTGTGGTTCTTTTCTCGGTGGGGCCTTCCATCTTACCACGTAGGACCATGCAGAGTTCTAGGACGGGAGCTCCTATGGAAACATATTTTAAGTTTCTTCGATTCTGTGAGGAGGTGGTGTTCTGGTCGGGGAGGAGGAGCCCACGATCCGCGGCGGATGCAGGGTTGGCACACAGCAGTTACACATCCGCAGCCCCCGCAGGAATTCCTTCCATCCCGTGCCCGCATGCCCCTTGGCCTTCATTCTCATGGTGGTTGAGAAGCTTCCTCTAGCAGGAAGCCAGCCAAGCCAGGAAGTTAGTCCCCAGCTCCTCCTCCTCAGCTGCAGATATCCAGCCCGAACACAATTTCCCAGGAGGCCTCTGGCACCTCCCACTCCGCCCCTCCCCGTGCTGCCTCCTCGGCATCCTCCATTCCACTGCCCATTGCCTACCCTCGGTGCCACCTGTCTGCTTGTTTTCTGTATTTTGGCCAACGTAACCAACCCCATTGCACAGAGGAGGAAGTCACAGTTCCCAAAAGCTCATGGGGAGGGACTAAGCCAAGGTGAAGCGCTGGGCAACGCCTATCACTGGCTTTATTCATTCCTTTTGGTTTGATTTTGATGTTGGGGTGGCCGTGGGGGGTGAGAGTGGCCATACCAATAGCATGTTTCATGTCTGGTGCGTGTGTGTTTGGATAGTTATTTTTCTAATTTTTTTTTTTTTATAGAAAAATTATGTGAGTGTGTGTGTGTGTGTGTGTCGGGGAGATCATCTCTGGGACAAACCTAGGACAAGGGAGACTCCAGGACTCTATGAGGGTGACCCCAGCTAAAACTCCTAGCAACGGGGGAAATGGAACCTGAAATGGCCACCTCCTGTGACCAGACAAGACTTCCAGTGGAGGAATGGGAACACCAACGCACCCACAAAACCTTCGACACAGAATTTGTCCTGCTCTAAGAGGTGCAGGGATAAATATGGAGCAGAAATTGAGGGAATGGCCAGCTAGTGATTGACCCAACTTGAGACCCACCACATCAGAGAATGTTGGTTCTCCTCCTTCCCGGAGGCTGCCTCCTAGCAGCCCACAAAGTCAGGAGGGCAGGAAACTAGAATTGTGCCTGGAACAGGGATCACACGCGCCAGGAACAGCTGTTGGCTAATTCAACTTTAATTCCACAGGGGGGAAAAAAAAGTTATATACCCCTTGGGGAGTGGGTGGAAGGCTCCAAGAATAGGTGTACATAATTGTACGTAATTGATTGGCACTAGGCACTTCAAGGATGCTTGATTTGCATCAAACATCACACTCCTATCATATGAATGGAAACACAGGACCTAATTAACATATAGGTTTGAGGAGGGGAGAGCTAGCAGGTTGCTGTGTCAGAGGCCTATCAAATGTGGTTAGGAGAGTCTGTGTCTAAAGACACTCTCCAGATGAGGGCAGGAGACCCCACCAAGGGGAGGTAGTTCTGCCTTTAACACTGAGCCTCACAACGGCTATCTGGACCAGGCTAGAACTGCAACCTAAAGCAGCAGGGAGGGTACCTCCAACAGGAGAAAGCCAACCCCTGACACCAGTAATAGTATTCTGCTGTACTTGCAGACAGGAGCCTAACATAACTGTCCTCTGAGAGGCTTCACTGATGGAAAGAGATACACAGACCCACAGCCAAACTTGAGGTGGAGCTCAGGGAATCTTGTGGGAAAAGGGAAGGAAGGATTGAAGGAGCCCATAGGGTCTCACGGAGACTGAACCACCATCCAGAGAGCACGCATGGCACAGACCTAAGCCCCTACACATACATAACAGATGTGCAGCTTGGTCTTCACATGGGTGTCCTAACAACTGGAGCAGGGGCTGTCTCTGACTCTTTTGCCTACCTTTAGATCCCTTTCCCCTAACTGGGCTGCTTTGCCTGGCCTCAATGGGTGAAGATGTATCTAGACCTACTGCCATGATATCCATGGGAGGCCTCCCCTCTCTGAGGAGAAAATGAGGAGACAGTAGGGGGAGGGGAGGTAGGGGGAGGGACTGGGAGGACAGGAAAAACAGGAAGCTGCAATAGAGATGTGAAATTAATTAATGGGAAGAAAGAGAGAGAGAAGGAAGGAAGCAGGCTGAGCAAGCCACGAAGAGCAAGCCAGTCTGTATCAACTCCTGCCTCCAGGTCCCTGCCCTGTTTGCATTCCTGACTTCCTTCAGTGATGAACAGTGATATGGAAGTGATAGCCAAATAAACTATTTTCTCATCCTTCTCCCAATTTATGTGTGTAGAGATTTTGCCTGCATGTATGTCTGTGTACCGTATGCATATAAAGCTCACAAAGCCAAAAGAAGGTATTTGAATCTCCTAGAACCGCAGTTAGAGATGACTGGGAGCTGCCATGTAGGTGCTGAGACTTGAACCCAGGTCCTCTGGAAAATCAGGCAGTGCTCTCTAATCAGGCAGTTAGAGATGGCAGTGCTGAGCCATCTCTCCAGCCCAGGCTTATTGCTTCTTTGAAGCAGAGCCTCAGTCTACAGCCCAGGTTGACCTTAAATGCATGATGCTCTTTGAATACCTTCTAACTTACTTCTGAGATTACAAGCACCTGTAAGTAGCATGCTTAATCCATGTCTGTTTCTTTTGGTGTCATTTCTGTTTTGGCAAGGGGCCAAGTATGTGCTCACACATACCTGCCTGTAGGCAGTCCTGGCTGAGTCAGCCCCACCCCAATATGGGGGTGTCTTGGAAGGGTGTGCCACAGGCCCCACCACCTTCCTCCAGCTCTCACAGTGATTCACTCAGTCTCAAAGGCAGCATCAGCAGCATTGTGGGCCTGTCCATGACAGAGCCTTCCCTTCTCGTTGCTGCCCAGATGGAGGGGCTGGCCCCGCTGCCCCTGGCCTCACCCTGTCCCCGGATCCCACGAGCCCGCATCGCCAGGCAGCCAGGCCAATGGGCCCACCTGGGCTGCAGGTACCAGTGGTCAAGGGTGGTGGAGGGAGGATTGGATCTGCTGTGTGCTGGGTAGAGGTGTCACTTCAAGTCTTCACAGAAGTCCCATGAGCCAAGAGCATCTTTAGGTTGTTCCTGCTTCTTAACAATTCTAAGTGATACTGGGGACCAGCTTGGGCAAAACCCATCCCTAGATGGATAATTGCAGATGTGAAAGGGATGCTGCCAGCTCCTGCCCCACTCATTTGCAGCCCAAATGCCTGAAGCTAGGATGTGGTCCTTCCCCAGAGAGAGACACAGGGAGTGGGGCTGGTACTCTCAGATGCAGCAGCTCAGGGCTCTGGCAGGATGTAGTACTCACACAGACCTTTGTGGCACGTGGCACATTCCCTGAGTGGGAGAAGTATGGGGGCTCTGTCCCATCAGACGGAAGGGGGCTCAACAGGTGAAACCTGTTTGTCTCTCCACTTTGCCACAGTCTGTGGGATCCGGGTTGGCTTCCTGTGGCTGTTATTTGGAGATGTGAAACAACAGTCATTATCTTTGAGTTCAGCCTGTTGAGAATCCCCAAACCAAGGACTCTTTCTCCACCATTAGGCTCTCGGGGGAACTGGTTTCCTTAGATGCTAAGAGCCCACACATTGCTTGGCTCATAGCCTTCACCCATTTGCAATGCCACCATTGAGCACCTTCTATTCTCTGGCTGCGACCTTTCTTTCCATCACCCCTGCCTCTCCTGCCTGCCTCTGTCACTAATATAGTTACACCAGTGATGACCTTGAGCCCACTCGGATGATCCAGGCTCTCCCTCATCTTGAGGGCCTGAACAATCACTATCATATCTGTAAAGTTCTTTTTCTCCCCCCCTTGGACCATAGTCACAAATTCTGAGGGTTCAGATGCAAACCTCTTTGAGGGGTCATCATTTATTCTATGTATCCGTCACTCTATCTGTTATTACTCTATCACCACCCATCCATCCATTATCTATCACTTCATCTATCTATCCGGTCCACCCATCTGTCTATCCCTCTATCTGCCTACCTATAATTATCTATCTATCTATCTATCTATCTATCTATCTATCTATCTATCTATCATGTCTCTATCAACCTACCTAACAACCTATCTACCGAGGGGACTCTTCTTACCTCCCCCTAATCTCCCGAGGCTGTTAATACCAGATCCAATCGTGAGAACCTCAGGCCCATTGAATGTGCTCAGTGATGAATGAACAAATGGATGGTACTTTCAGAGCGTGAAATTTCATAGCATCCCCTTTGTTTACTCACAATGCAAAGGGAACAAAACCGGCATGCTTGCTTCCAGAACGGTGGCTTTTCAGACCTCAGGGGTATGTAAGCATTGTTCTAGGTTTTATTTGTTATTATTTCAGAGAAATCGTCTGACTATTGTAGCCCAAGCTTGCCTCAAAGGCTCAGTCCTTCTGCCTCAGCCTCCCCAGTGCTGAGGTCACCAAGCCCAACATTATTATATATTTTTAAGTGTTTTTTAAAAAAGAAAACTAGTAAAGGGGCTGAGGAGATGGCTGGGTAGGTGAGAAGTTTGCTGTGCAAACACGTTCAGATCTCGAGCACGAGAGTAAAATCTAGCAGTGCAGTGTGGAGTAGGCATCTCTCACTCCAGGGCCAGGCGGGGCTGTGTGAGGCCAGGTGGGGCTTAGGGCTCGTCAGCCAGCCTAGCTGAAGGTGGGAGCTGCAGATTCAGCGAGAGATCCAGTCTCAGGGTGTAAGGTGGAGAACAGTGGAGGCAGACACCTTGAGCAGGTGCACACCCATGCACGCTCACTCTCTCTCACTCTCTCTCTCTCTCGCACACACACACAAATAAAATAATTACTGAAAACATGTCCTCAAATGTGCAATACACTGAATATTTTTGTCCCTCAAAATGATATTAAGAATATGATCAACAGGTACTTTACACTGAACTTCGAACAGCATATTCTATCTATCTATCTATCTATCTATCTATCTATCTATCTATCTATCTATCTATCTATCTATTTATCTATCTATCTCTGAGTCCACTGTCACTTCCCCGGGATGGTGTGGCTATGCCCGATCCAGGCTAGGCATTATGTACCATCCAAAGAGTCACTCTGTCAAGTGTCCGACCACCGAGACTGTTCATCTCATCAGCCACTCACTGAGCCATTTACTTATTCAGCAAATTCCAGCGAGGCCGCAACCTTCAGGTGCCATGCTCCTTTGGCATGGCTCTAATTCACCCGTGTGTCTAAGTGTGGCAGTCTGGGGCTGGCCGCTCAGAGCTGTTGGGGAAAATATCCGCTCAGTGAACGAAATGCTCACTGCTTGTTTGTGAAGTTCCAGGTGGGCAGGGACTCGGAAGGACAAATGGATAGCTTGGGAGGAAGACAGGAGGGTCTGAATTGGGGTGTGGCAAAAGTCAGTGGTCCATGCAGTAGGTGGACGGGGCCAAGGCACAGGATTTTCAACACTGCATCATCACCACGTTGTCTTTGGGAGGAGCCTCAAGCCCCATCCGAGCAAGGCAGCTTTGGCAGGAGCCCCTTCCTTGAACTTGAAAAGATGTGTGAAACTTTTATTTCACTGTCAGGGGCACTTTTTTTTTTTTTAATGCCATGTGCTGTTTGCCATAGCACATGTGGCTCGAGAGGACAGCTGTGCAAAGTTGGTTCCGTCTTTTCAGCTTAGAAATATATTTTCTGTTAGCTACAAGCCAAGTTCTGTTTCCCATGTGCTAATTAGCAAATATTTATATTATTTGTTTATGTGTGTGTGTGCACACGTGTGTGTGTGTGTGTGTGTATGTGCACACGCGCATGTGTGTACATGCCACAGCATGCATGTGTGTGTGAGGGTTGTTCAAGGACAATTTGGTGATGGTGGTGGTTCTCTCCTCCCACCCCGTGAGATGTAGAGATGGACGGAACCCAGGCTGTCAGGTTTGGTGGCGAGTGTCTTTACCAGCTGAGCTGTCTCCCTGGCCACAGCCACGTGGTGGCTTTGTTCCTGACATTCACTCATCACGGTTGGCGATCAGCAGTGGGGCCAAGAGTCTGCTGACTCTTGCTAGATTCTGTGGGAGGACCATCAGCACTTTGGAACCAGGGACACCCAAGCTGTTTCTGGAGGATAGCACAAGCCAGTGCATCTGAAGGACAGGCAGCCAGTGCCCCGAGAGCCTCCGTGATTTCACCATGGGAAGTGGGGGGCATAGGCTCTAGATCTGTGGCTGTGGCTTCATTTCCCAAGAGCAGGATGGACTTCAGCCATCCTACCCATCACTTCGTCGGTTCATCCAGCTCTCCGTGGACAAGTCACATGTTGAATAAGTTTGACCTCTTCGGAGATCAGTGTTTATGGACTTGCACTGACTGAGGTGAGAAAGCTGTGTTTACCAAGAAAAAAAAAATTACAAGCAAAATTCCTCCCACCTCCAACCTACAAGGACCTACCAAGAACAGTCTAATGGGCATCCTATAGGATGCTATGCTTTGTAAGTATAATCAGCATATATGTAAAATGTATCTGTGATGGTCTACAGAGTGAGTTCCAGGGTAACCATGACTACATAGTGAGGCCAGGCTGAGCTTGAACTGACAGAGATCTGTCAGCCTCTGCCTCTAGAAGACCCATTTTGATCCTGGAGCCACTGTAAGTTTCCCCCCATCAATAACAGCTGGGTAACTTGGCTGATGACACCCAAGTAGCTCATGAGCCAAATCGGCCTCAACATCCTCAACTCATGCTTCAGTCACGTGCAGCTCAAGTCTCTGTCACTGAGGTCAGTGTCAATGGATCTTTAGATATGTCTGTGGATGCAAGACCTGAATGAATCACACACACACACTATGAAAATGACAAGGTCAACCTGCATCTCAGAGCCTTCAGCACACGCCAGCTGTGGGCCTCCGAGGGACATTACTCAAGCTCTCTGAGCCTGATTTTCTTCGGCTCTAAATGTCTGGGACCAGCAGTGCCAACATAGGCTCAGTGGAGTCCACGCTGGGCACGGTGCCTGAGGTACAGGACACATGAACAACACACTGCAGCTATCAGTGGTCAAAGGGAGCATGCTTGGAGGCTTGTTCCCATGGGAACAACAGGTCCAGGCCCCCTGGCTTCCTGCAGTGGTAGATAGTTTGACTCAGAGTTCTGAATCCACATCCTCATTATGAAATCCCTCCTCTTCTCCTACCCCATCATTTTGGTGCTCAAGTCGGTGCCATTCTGAGAGCGGTTGTCTTCCAAACAAACATCCTTGGGGATCTCCATTGTGGCTCACAGAGCTGGCCAGAAACCCCAAGGCTGTGGCCTGGTCCCTGGGGTGCTGGCGTCCTGCTGCTCATCATTGCCCTGGAATCTTCATCTTGCTTGCAGTGCTCTTCTGCCAGGCATCCCTAACTACCAATTCCTCAGCAGATGCCATGGAGGGTGAGAATGCCTTTGTCTCCACTCACGCTCAGGCCGGGTATGAGGATTCGCTTGGCTGTTCGTCATTCCGATGGGTGAAACCCTTCACCAGTTTTAATGTGCACTTTCCTGATCATTGTGCGTTCTGTGTCCCTTTGCAGCGAGCCCTTCATTTCTAAAGTGAGCAGAATATGTCAACTCTCCTAGCCTACTGATATTCTGTTCTTGATTTCTGGAAACGCTATAATTAGATAATAGGCTGCCATTTGTTTTTTAATTACATTTATTTATTTAGTGTGTGCGTGCACGCGTGTGTACGTGTGTGCGTGTGTGTGGTGTGTGTGTGTGTGGGTATGTCTGCCCGTGCATCTGGGTGTGGCGCTAAGAGTTTGGCCCGAGGTATCATCCTGTATTGCTTTCCACCTTATTTTTTGACTCGGGGTTAAATTAGATTAAGCTCACTGGACCGGCACACCAGGGAGCCTCTGGGGTCCTCCAATCTCCAGCCTTCCGCCAGCACCAGGATTATAGACACACATTTTCGCACCTGGATTTTTTGATAGGTGCTGGGGATCCAAACTCCAGTTCTTAAGTTGCCCT